TGAGATTTCCTCTCATCTTCTCATTTGGCAGCCCTAGGATTAAACCACTTTCTCAGAAGCCACCTGGTGTCTTTGTGTATTGACTTGCTGTGTGCATCTTGCAATATACCTAATAACAGTTTTGTGTTTTTTATTTTGATTCTGCCTGTCCATTGTTAGCAGATAGAAATGCGATTGATTTTTGTGTGTGACCTTGCTAAATTCATTTATTACTTCTAGGAAATTTTTTTTTTTTTTTTTTGAGTCGGAGTCTAGCTCTGTCGCCCAGGCTGGAGTGCAGTGGCCAGATCTCAGCTCACTGCAAGCTCCGCCTCCCAGGTTTACGCCATTCTCCTGGCTCAGCCTCCCGAGTAGCTGGGACTACAGGCGCCTGCCACCTCGCCCGGCTAGTTTTTTGTATTTTTTAGTAGAGACGGGGTTTCACCGTGTTAACCAGGATGGTCTCGATCTGCTGACCTTGTGATCCGCCCGTCTCGGCCTCCCAAAGTGCTAGGATTACAGGCTTGAGCCACCGCGCCCGGCCACTTCTAGGAAATTTTTAAAGATTCCTAGAGATTTTCTATGTAGATAATTACATCATCTGGAAATAGTTTTATTTTCTGCACTTCAAACTTTATGCCTTATTTATTTTTCTTGATTTGTTACAGTAGTTAGAACTTCCAGTACTATGTTGAGGTAAGACCCCATCTCTACAAAAAATAAAAATTAAAAAAGCTAGCCAGGTGTGTTGATGCATCCCTGTGGTCCCAGCTACTTAGGAGGCTGAGACAGAAGAATTGCTTGAGCCCAGGAGGTCATGAGGCAGGAAATTAAAGAAAGAAAGAAAAATAAAATTAAAAAAGAGAAAAACAAGCTTTCTATTTAGGCTGACTCATCCTAAAGGCAGTAACAGGCAAAGCCTGGACCCAGGTGAAGTCTCAATAACATTATCTAAGAAGCCAGAGCTCAAAAGAATGTGATCTGGAGACTCAGCACACTCTCAACATAGGCATAAGAAAAATACATTTTCCTGTCTCATTTAGTATAAGGAAACTTCCCCTTTGAATCCTACCCCCCTCCATGTGATTGTACCTTGCTCCGCAAGTTTTATAATGTTATAGATTCCTGTTTTTTGTAACTAATAACTTCAGGTATGCTGTTTTTATCTGAGCAGTGCAGTGAAGGTTATAAGACACGCCTGAGCAGGCCTGGGCTGCAGCCATCTAGGTGCCATAGTGAACGTTATGAGATAAGCCCATGCAAGGCACTAGAGCAAGCCTAGATAACAGCCATCTGGGCCACATAGCAAGAGTCACATGTAATCCTTACACACCTGTCACAATTTGATTAACTGCCTTTGTTCTGCCTCTGTATGCTTGCTTTTGTGCCACTGTGCTTCATGCCTCTGTAAGCTTGTTTCAAGCTAGCCCACCCCCTTTTAGAAGTGCGTGCAAAAGTCAAGTGCTGTCTTTGTTCTGGGTCCAATTTTTGGATGTTAATGCGCTGCATCTGAGCGCAATCAAAAAAGTCCTCTTCTTCCACCTTTGAGTCTCTCTAGTCTCCTGATTCCAGCAACAGTTGAGGCTACAGTGTGTGGTGTTTTCACCACTGCACTCCAGCCTGGGCAATAGAGTGAGACCCCATCTCAAAAAGAAAAAAGATGAAAGATAGTAAAGAGAACATCCCTTCCTTGTTCAGGATCATAGAGGAAAAGCATTCGGTCTTTTGTCATTGAGTCTAATGTTAGCTGTAGGATATTGTTGTAGATGCTCTTTATCAAATTCATCTAGTTGAGATAATTCCCTTCTAATCGTAGTTTGCTAAACATTTTCTTCTTTTTCTTTTACATTAAAAAAAATTGAGTGTGGAGGGAAAAGCAACTTCATCTTGGATGCTTAATCTGCCTTGTTGACTTCTGATTAAACCCATTCCCTGCAATGCCTCCGAGATTTCTATTTTATCTGTTACTCCTTGTGTAACAGCATGTATTTACCATAAATCCTGCCATTAGGTCAAAAGAATCTTGATATTATTGTACTTACCATAAGTCCTGCCCTTAAGCAGTTGTCCCTACACATCCCTTTTGAATCGCATATACCCTTTGCCTGTGATATATAACCTAGCGGTATGGGGGGTAATGGTACAGGGGCCCACCATCTTGTCTTGCTGCCACCTGAGGTTACCAGACATTACTTCTTTTCCTAAGTTCCTATTAAATGTTTGTTTCTGAGAAAATGGATATGTTAAGCCTTTTTCTTCAGCCTCTCAATGTCCTTAGACTATTGGGGGTAGTTGTATATAGACCTGCCCACCATGGAACGTGTGGTGAGCCAGGCCAGGAGCTGAGAGATCAATAAATGGGAAAAAGGTATGAAGCATCCATGGGGGAAATCCCACAATGGCCAGCCACTCCATGTGGAGTGGTGTGGATCACCTTTTAGACATTTGTGGACCACTGCATGAGAATGAGGATGCTCTGAAAACACTGATGGGTTTAGAGCAATTGTTAACTGATAACCATCTATCATACTGCTGTAAGGAAGGGTGGTGAGTAGCCACTGCAGTAAAATGTCTGCTTCTATAGGCTGCCTGTTTGGTGATGAGAGCCTACCTAGCAGTGTTGCAATCTTGTTGTCTGAGGTATTACCCAGAGTTCTTTGTCTCATGACCAATAAAATTAAGGAGCATGGACACCAAGGGTGAGGTTGGAGTGAAAGTTTAAAAAACCAAAGAAGAAAGCTCTCCACAATGGAGAATGGGGCCTGAGAGGGTTACCAGCTATAAGACTGAGTCCCAGGTTTTTATGGACTGGAAAGGGGAGGAATGTACTGACTGGTCTGTAGACTCTCTTGGAGAACCAATTGGAGGTAGAGGTGAAGGTGTGGCCCAGGACCAATTAGGCTGAAGTGATGTTCACCCTATGTAAATGAAGACTTGGCCTGTGGCCAATCACAGAAAGGTAGGCATATGTAAAATAGGTGAAAAGTCAGAGCAAAAAAGGAGTAGAATTTGTTCATCTTGATTCACAGTGTAGATGTTTCCATTCAAGGATGTGGGGCCTGTAGTGATTTTCAGGCTATTCTTTGAAGGAGTTTTACCAAGGAACCACCTTGTCCGCCTGACCAGTTTCTTCTTTCCTCCTCTCTCAGCAGCAGAAGCAAAATAAAACAGCTTGAGGAGGAATTACCATTAGGAAAGATATATTTTTTAAAAGACCTCTATAGTGAAAAGTCAAGGACTCTGTAGTCAAATTGGTTAAACCTGATATTTGGGCTATGTATGTATGCATGTGTATTGTTTTAAGGCTTCTGCCCTCGCTCTGTAAAACAACTCAGTTGACTGATTTCTCAGTGTTTGTCCATTTACTTCTGTCTGTCCCTCCTTCTTGCCATCCTTGATGCCACACGAGTAGATCCCAAAAGGATTCCTAACAATGTGGGATCACTTAAGGAAAACAGAAAAGGCATCAAAGACTTCTTTTTGGGGTTGAACCTGTTTTTTCTTATAGAACCCCAAGAATTATAAGCAGACAGATTCAGCTATAAAATCCTGTTCTCTTTTGTATTGCATTACTTGATCTCTTTGGATTTTGAGGATAGAAGAAATTACTTTGTAAGTTTGAGGATTTGATCTTGCCACGTGTAATGACTGGTGAGTCACAGGTGAGAGTTACAGTGTTAGAGGTAGCTGAGAGACAGTTCCTTATAGTAACTGGTTATTACTAGAGGGGCCTACTCATTTCTTTGCGCATTTGAGGAAAGCAAGGTTTAGGCCCTAAAAACTGCTTGCTTTCTTTGTTCTATTCATTAAAAGGGCTCCAACTTCAAGTCAGTAATCTAATTAAGAAACAAGCTAAGTTGAAAAGACACTTTCCCTCAAAATATTGTCTTCAGATATTGGTGTTTAAGTCTAAGTTCTGGGTCTTTGATACGTACATTTTCTACCTTGTTTCACCTGAGTCATGTCTTTAAGAATGGTTGATAGTCTAAAAGTGGGAAAGAAACTGTTTGAAAATTGGTGAGTGAAAAATATTATAAATATATAAGATCTGCTTCTGTGTATCTTTATGTCTATATGTATATGTCACTTGTATGAGCTATTACACTATCAAAATATATGAAAGAGCTTTAATCAACTGGCTTATAGAAAAGTAAGTGCTTAAATAAAATACTTTGTCAGAAAAATAAAAGCTAGCTCATGTTGGGACTCAGAAACAAATACCCAAAATATGGTGCATTGCCATGCTGAACTGAAGAAGCTTTGATCAAGGCCTCTCTGACCTCCCCACCACCCACTGTCTCTCTCAAAGGAGCTGAAGTTGCTTTATCTACCTAAAGTCCAGACCCAGCAGAGAAAAATGTTTTTTCTTTACATGGACGTAAAGCATGATGGTAAAAAAATTTTTTTTTTCTTCCCTCCCTGTAAGACCAAGAATGTAACCACACCCAAAAAGATCTTTTCACTGTCAAAGAGAACTATTTACAAGTAAGTCATTCTCCCTAGTAATCCTCTCAACAGCATTTCTTTTCTCTTTCCTTCCATAACTTGTTTTTGCCAGGATGGTATATAAGCTTGTAAAACTCACTGGGGAGTTGGGCCTTCATTCTGAAGGATCCTGTGTATACATGTTAAATAAATTTATATGCCTTTTCTCCCATTCATCTACCTCATGTCAGTGATTTTTCAGTGAGCCTGCAAGGGGCCGAATGATGTTAGCCACTAGACTCAAATGATTTTTAGTTCACATGACTTTAGTAATCATTGATAAATAAAACTAGTTTTGTTACCATTTGACCAGGTTCTTGCCCACTGCCCAGATAGAGCCAAACACTGAGACAGCAGGTGTGGTAGTAGAGAAAGACTTTAATTATCACAAGGGAACTGAGGAAGGAGAATGGGAGATTTCTCAAAGCTGCCTCCCTAAGAATTCAGAGGCTAGAATTTTAAGGATAATTTGGTGGGAAGGGGCTTAAGGGATGGGTGTTGATAACTGGTCTGGCATGAAACCATAGGGGTGTCGGAGGTGCCTTCATGTGCTCAATCAGTTATTGGGTCATGGTGAAGTCACAATACAAGTCAAGTCAGTTCCTTAGTTACCCTCATGGGCCACAGGTACAGTTGGCATCAGTTGGTCCAGACTGTTAGAGGCAAAGTCTGAAAAATATCTCAAAGACCAGTCTTAGGTTTCACAGTAATGTTAGTGACTGCTGGTTACTATGGAAAGCAAGCTGGGAAACAATGGTAGGTTACTATTTAACCATGGCTATAGCTTAGTAGAAAAGTTTGCATGAGGTGAAATCCCTGGTGGTCAAAGCTGCTCAGCCTTCTCCCTTGGTCAGTCCAACTTCTGGAAGCCATAGGGAAGATCATATTCTTTGAAGAAAAAACTTCATTAATCTTGTGGGCAGCCTGCCTGGGGGCTAAGACAAGGAGGTAATACATTATTAGTGTCTACTGAAATGACTATGTGCAAGCAATCATGCCTGGAGGAGGAAAAGATCTGAGAGAAAGATAAATATCTTAACAAAATTCAACCCCCTACCATAATTTTAATCTTGTGGCCTTTTAAAATTTCATAACAGTGGTTTCAATTTCAAAATTCTCCTCAGTAATTTAAAATCTTAAAGTCATGTTATGTTAAATTAAGTAATCCTAGGTTTTTTACTGAAATTAGGGTTACTAAGAGTTAGAACAGTTGTTAATATATGTAATTAAGAACTACTGTTAGCTGGATATGGTGGCTCATACCTGTAGTTCCAGCTACTCAAGAGGCTGAGGTGGAAGGATTGCTTAAGTCTGGGAGATTGAGGTTGCATTGAGCCATGATTGCATCACTGCACTCCAGTCTGGGTGACAGAATGAGACCCTGTCTTAAAAATATAAAAAAATAAAAAATAAAAAAAATAAAACTACTAGATACAAGAAAAATTACTCTATATACAGAGTGTATAAAGAAATGTGTGGTTTTGGTCAGGAAGTTCATTTTAAAACGACATGACTATATGATTTTGGTAAAGGAGAACTAATTTTGTCTAATTTAGAGGTTAAATGTTTCAAAATGAAGGAAATAAATTATGTAGATAAAAGTTAATGCATAAAAAGGAAAAGGATAAACAGGTGAGGAATGAGGAACCTTTGATTCCCAGGTGCCCATGTGATCACCCACAGCATAGAGCTGCTGCGCTGCATTCAGTTACTAAATGTAAAAGTTACCAGTGGAATTTAGAGATGAATTCAACTCCTAGAGAGTTGGGCCAATGGAACTGCAAACTAAGGAAATGCAAACTAATAAGCAAAATGTGAAATATTAAGTCCCTTGGTTATTATAAACCAAAAAGTGTCTGAGAAAGACATCAATCAATTTAGAACTTTATTTTGCAAATGTTGAGGACACACAAGGGAAAAAAAAGACACAAGTCACAGTAGGATCTGTGGCCTGTGCTTTTTCCAAAGAGAGTCTTGAGCACTTCAATATTTAAAGGAAAAATAGCAAGCAGCAGAGGAAGGAGGGGAAAAGGGGGGAAGGGTGAACAAGGAGGTGAGTAGTTTATGTCCTGTTACAAAAAAACCAGATTCTCATTTAATTTATGCAAATAACTGCATTGCCACAAATTAAGAATATTCACAGATAGCTTCCAAATTTTTTTAGAAATCAGGGAGAGAAGGCCGGGCGCGGTGGCTCAAGCCTGTAATCTCAGCACTTTGGGAGGCCGAGACGGGCGGATCACGAGGTCAGGAGATCGAGACCATCCTGGCTAACACGGTGAAACCCCGTCTCTACTAAAAAATACAAAAAATTAGCCAGGCGCAGTGGTGGGCGCCTGTAGTCCCAGCTACTCGGGAGGCTGAGGCAGGAGAATGGCATACACCCGGGAGGCGGAGCTTGCAGTGAGCTGAGATCCGGCCACTGCACTCCAGCCTGGGTGACAGAGCAAGACTCCGTCTCAAAAAAAAAATAAATAAAGAAAGAAATCAGGGAGAGAGAAATACGCTTAAAATTTTGCTTATAAGAATATACTTTACTCGATTGTTAAAAGCTGTAAATAGCTCAAAAGAAAAAAGTTTTCTTGATTCTGATTTAAAAAAAAAGAATCAGCAATGTTTCAAACAAAAAAATCACTGAAAAATTATTTCAGCCTTCCATTGGTTCAGTCCATGCAGTTAACCCCTGTCCTGCTTGATATTGAGCCAGCAATCCTCATGAATACATTAGTTCTTTAATGAGAGTCCTGGAAGTTTTTTTATTCTTTAGTACCATGACATAGTCTCCAAGGTTATCTGAAACCTGCATTTAAGAGCACCCATCAGTCCTTTCCATTAATTCCCTTAAAGAAGCAAGTTTTATGATCTTTTTTTTTTTCTGAGGCAGAGTCTTGCTGTGTCACCCAGGCTGGAGTGCAGTGGCATGATCTTGACTCATGGCAACTTCTGCCACCTGAGTCCAGTTCTGGTGCCTCAGCCTCCCAAGTGTCTGGGACTACAGGTGTTCGCCACTGTGCCTGACTAATTTTTGTATTTTCAGTAGAGACAGGGTTTCGCCATGTTTGTCAGGCTGGTCTCTAACTCCTGGCCTCAAGTGATCCACTTGCCTTGGCCTCCCAAAGTGCTAGGATCATAGGCATGAGTCACTGCACCAGACCAAGAAGCAAATTTTAGGTTTTTGCTTTGTAGAAACCACTTTTTGAGAAGAATCAAGGTAAAACAAATAATTGTGGATGACAAAAGTCTTAGAACAGCCATAGTTAAAGATACAACTGACCAAGATATTTGGTTAGTTCTGTGGTATAAAACAATTTTACATAATGATCGTTATTATTATTGATAATATGTACTAAAGCATATCAGAATTATAGGAATCTCATACACTTTTGGAACATATACTAATAACACATTTATATAAACATAACCCAAAGAAAATTAAACACCAATTTATATTTGACAATGGTTCTTGTATGATTGAACATATCAAATAAGCCAGATATACCTCTTTTGGACTGCAGGGGACCTACTATCTAAACAGATAATGAGGTTTAATGACTGGATTTAGAATTTGATTTTGGAAAGTTTGTCAAATATCAAAGGTTTAAAACACATGATGTCAGGGCCGGGCGCAGTGGCTCATACATGTAATCCCAGCACTTTGGGATTTCGAGGCGGGTGAATCACAAGGTCAGGAGTTTGAGACCAGCCTGGCCAATATGGTGAAACCCCATCTCTACTAAAAATACAAAAAAATTAGCCAGGCATGGTGGCACATGCCTGTAATCCCAGCTACTTGGGAGGCTGAGGCAGGAGAATCCCTTGAATCCGGGAGGTGGAGGTTGCAGTGAGCCAAGATTGCGCCACTGCACTCCAGCCTGGGTGACAGAGCGAGACTTTGTCTAAAAAAAAAAAAAAAAAAAACCGCATGATGTCACAAACCCGATGACAGGTTACTGTAAAATAAGTCATTCATGTAGCCAAAATGATAATTCAAAGATTTTTAAAAAGCAAAAACCTTTACTCTTTGATAGAGAGGAGACTCAGTTTCTCAAACAATAAGACCTAGTAAAGTCAGCATGAGGCCAACTGAATCCTAGCTCTCCTCTCTCCCCCTTTTTTTTTTTTTTGCAGTTTATTCAAAAGGCAAACAAAAGTATTTTACTATATCATTTTATTTTTGTTTTTTATTTTTTGAGATTCAATTTCGCTCTTGTTGCCCAAGCTGGAGTGCAATGGCACGATCTTGATTCACTGCAACCTCCGCCTCCCGGGTTCAAATGATTCTGCTGCCTCAGCTTCCCGAGTTGCTGGTATGACAGGCGTGTGCCACCACGCCCGGCTAATTTTGTAGTAGAGACGGAGTTTATGTTGGTCAGGTTGGTCTCCAACTCCTGACCTCAGGTGATCCGCCCACCTCAGCCTCCTAAAGTGCTGGGATTACAGGTGTAAGCCACCACACCCAGCCCACTGTATCTTAATATTACATGAAAATCTTACTCAAAAGAGAAAACCAAATTTTGCCTTTGCGTACGCTATTATTAATGCAAAAGCTACTTTTAATAAAAGCTTATAAACAAATTCATCCTTAGAACTTCTAGACAAAAATTATGTTCCCTTAAAAAATCCACATTCCCATGCCTTCTTATAACCATATTTTTAACCAAAACACATTCTACTTTTAAAATACACTTTGTGTGTATCTAGTAGTTTTAATTAAATACATTAATTATAATGTTACCTCTTAGTAACTCTTAGTTTTGGTGAAAAACGTAGGAGGTTCATAAGTTTATAGATAAGTAGAAGCAAAGTTTTATGTCTTTAAGCATTTAGCACAGTATTTAACCTGCCTAACTAGTTTAGATCAAAAGTCTAAATTAAATTCTGGAGATGTTTTTATTTTATCAATAATTTAAAAACTAGTTTTATTTACCAAATATTGCTAAAGTTACATGAACTAAAAAGCATTTGAGTTAAAGTTTCTACTTTTCTGATGAAAAATTTTATTTAAGCACTTACTTTTTTCTTTAGGCCAATTAATTAGAGCTCTTTTATATTTTTTGGTAGTGAAACATTACATACACATGACTTGTATAAACACATTGACATACAGACATATAGACAGGAGCAGATCTTATAGATTTATATGATTGTTCATTTGTCAGTTTTCAAAATACCTCTCCCCCGCTTTAGACTATCAATTCTTTTGATAACCTGTTTCATTGCCCTGAGCAATTGCCAGCTAGACAGCTCAAAATTTGCATTTCTAAACAGACAACTCTTAGGCAAAGCAAAGTAGACACTTTGCATTTTAAAAGCACAGAGCTAACACATTAGGCCTAAATATTGTACCATCATTTGCTCAAGCCAAGGGAAAAACAATGGTGTACGTAAATTTTAGTTAAGATGGCCAGGAAAAGTACTTTAAACAAAGGTATGACTTATGAATTTAAAGCAATGGGAAGAGTTTCTAATGTACATAGGGAGATAACCATTACAAATACAAATTTCCTTGAAGAGGTAAATTTATTTTATGAAAGAGTTTTCAGATAGTCAGCTACATGCCTGAAAGTTGTATTTTGGCTTTTTAAACTTGACTTGTTTCTTAATTAGATTACTGGCTTTAGGGTAGAGCCCTTTAATGAATATGAGAAGGAAAATATGCAGTTTTTATGGCCTGATATTTAAATACGTGCAAAGCAAGCATAGCTGGAAGGCAGAACAGATCCTCCAAAACCAAGGATTCCATTTTTACACTCTAT